GAGAGGACTCTTTAAAGTAGAGACACTACATACTGATATACACCTGAACATCAGCAGGAGAGGACTCTTTAAAGTAGAGACACTACATACTGATATACACCTGAACATCAGCAGGAGAGGACTCTTTAAAGTAGAGACACTACATACTGATATACACCTGAACATCAGCAGGAGAGGACTCTTTAAAGTAGAGACACTACATACTGATATACACCTGAACATCAGCAGGAGAGGACTCTTTAAAGTAGAGACACTACATACTGATATACACCTGAACATCAGCAGGAGAGACTCTTTAAAGTAGAGACACTACATACTGATATACACCTGAACATCAGCAGGAGAGACTCTTAAAGTAGAGACACTACATACTGATATACACCTGAACATCAGCAGGAGAGGACTCTTTAAAGTAGAGACACTACATACTGATATACACCTGAACATCAGCAGGAGAGGACTCTTTAAAGTAGAGACACTACATACTGATATACACCTGAACATCAGCAGGAGAGGACTCTTTAAAGTAGAGACACTACATACTGATATACACCTGAACATCAGCAGGAGAGGACTCTTTAAAGTAGAGACACTACATACTGATATACACCTGAACATCAGCAGGAGAGGACTCTTTAAAGTAGAGACACTACATACTGATATACACCTGAACATCAGCAGGAGAGGACTCTTTAAAGTAGAGACACTACATACTGATATACACCTGAACATCAGCAGGAGAGGACTCTTTAAAGTAGATACACTACATACTGATATACACCTGAACATCAGCAGGAGAGGACTCTTTAAAGTAGAGACACTACATACTGATATACACCTGAATCATCAGCAGGAGAGGACTCTTTAAAGTAGAGACACTACATACTGATATACACCTGAACATCAGCAGGAGAGGACTCTTTAAAGTAGAGACAACTACATACTGATATACACCTGAACATCAGCAGGAGAGGACTCTTTAAAGTAGAGACACTACATACTGATATACACCTGAACATCAGCAGGAGAGGACTCTTTAAAGTAGAGACACTACATACTGATATACACCTGAACATCAGCAGGAGAGGACTCTTTAAAGTAGAGACACTACATACTGATATACACCTGAACATCAGCAGGAGAGGACTCTTTAAAGTAGAGACACTACATACTGATATACACCTGAACATCAGCAGGAGAGGACTCTTTAAAGTAGAGACACTACATACTGATATACACCTGAACATCAGCAGGAGAGGACTCTTTAAAGTAGAGACACTACATACTGATATACACCTGAACATCAGCAGGAGAGGACTCTTTAAAGTAGAGACACTACATACTGATATACACCTGAACATCAGCAGGAGGAGGACTCTTTAAAGTAGAGACACTACATACTGATATACACCTGAACATCAGCAGGAGAGGACTCTTTAAAGTAGAGACACTACATACTGATATACACCTGTAAATGAGCAGAATTTTCACTAGTTTCCACAAAATAACCTTCTCTTCCTCTCCACCACAGCCCCACAAATTCACTCTCAGCACTCTAATCGCTCCAGAACATCGCGGGAAGGCAGCCTGACGGGGGGGCAGCTGAGAGACTTCACGAAGATGTGAACCTTGTCAAAGTGACGTCTGGGTGAACGGACAACCATGCTGCCTCATGTTCTATCACACACACACACACACACACACATACCATGTATACATCACTTCAGGGGACATTACATTGACTTACATGCATTTCCTGGAGACTTATCCTAACCTTAACCATAACCAACACATGCCTAACCCTAACCCTAACCCTAAACCTAACCCTAACCCTAACCCTAACCCTAACCCTAACCCTAAACCTAACCAAGTCTTCACCCTAAAATTAATGATTCCCTTATGGGGACCTCCATTATGTGCCCATAAGGGGGGAGAGTCCCCACACGTGACTGTGTAAACAGATTTAGGTCCCCTCAAGGATCGTAATGCTAGGCCACACACACAGACACACACACACACACACACACACACACACACACACACACACACACACACACACACACACAATTGTAATTAAACCTCAATAGAATATGTGTAAATATTCAAAAGTCGTGTTGTTGTTGTTGTGTCATGTAAATAGTGAATATGGTTGGTGTATTTGTGTTTTTTTCATCACTCTTACTTAGAAAATAACTTCCAAAAACACTTGTTCTCCCATCTCATGGGAGGGCTACCATCTGTGTTTCCTTGTGCCTTGACTCTACATGTTAATCTTGGATTTGTTGAATTAAAAAAATAAGAATAAATACATTTAAAAAATCACATGAATCTGCACACAGATGATCCAGCACAACTAAACGAATAATAAGTATGTCATGCATTTCCCACAAGGGGGCAATACTTACCTTCTGGAGACAAACAAGTCCAGTTCTCAATCAAACCTGTTAATGAAGGGCTTGTATTTATTCCAGAGGCTAAACTAAAAGGGCATTTATTCGCACCTGTTTATGGACATTTCTAACAGTTTCCCTTCATAAAGCAATGCTCTCCTCCAAAAACATATTTCTACTGTACCTTATCCTAAGCTCTTCATTCGTTTGTAGCTTTTTACTCGGTGTCATATTGAATCATAAGATAATTATCATCCAATTCTGCAATTGTTATCATTTTAGCTTCCTTTTGCTGGGAAAATATCTGTATAAATACCGTTCTGGATTAAATATTGAGATGTCCTGCCAACAAATTGTTGCTCGCAAAACCCACTTTGAACATTTCAATACAGTTTTGGATCAAAACCAGAATAATGAAGCATGCAATCCCGATGTCATTCAAAATAATCGAAATGTAATATCCCCCCCCCCCCTTTTTTTAACGCTACAACTCATGACTAATTTACTTAATTCACTCCTTATTTGGACTTGTTGGTTCAGGAAAAATGGTCTAAGACTGGGTGTAGAATCTCATGCACCTCTTGCAGCTCTAGTGACAACTTAATGTGCAACGTCTTGTTTTTTGTTCTACATTTTGGTTCTAAATACATTATTTTGCATAAGAAGTAAGTACATGTTCTACACCTGCATAGAGACATTTGAGTTGTTCTGAAAACCCTAACCCTAACCCTCAGGTGAGGCTGACTCACAATTACGGATTTGCAGTTTTCCTTAGGTTTCTTAGGTTTATGGAAATGTACAAGACCGGCTCTTTCAGGTCAAAAATTAGGAATGTTAGGGATTAGGGTTGTGAAAAAAGTCTATTATTATTATTCTGACGTACAATAATCAGAAAATATCTGTTTACAGAACTGATAATAAGCAAAAATAATGCATAAGCAAGAAGATTCAGAGTCCTAATTCAGTGAACCCCATATAACACTTTGCCCTGCATGCTGAAGGTAAAGAGGTTTGGTTAAGTGGACTTCTTTGTCCGGGGAACATCCATGTTCATCAAACTGTCGCCAGACTAAAAGCACTTCTGAGGCCCCGCAGACCGTCTGCTTTATTATCTGTTCATCAAAAGTGTCCCAGATCCTCGCAGCGCCGAACTCTGAGGTTTAATAAAAGCCAGAAGAGTGTCCCAAAAACCCCGAGATGACAAAGATTCACTGTGGGGTCCTGTTACAGGAGAGGGGAGAGAAATGGAGACACTGTAGAGACATGAGTTATCTATTATGTGGTAAAAGTAGGATGAGCAACCCCACCAGTTTAACACTTCAATATCATTCAGCAACTTTCACTCTTAACAAAGCCAAAAGAAGTCTGATGATGTCTGTAGAGGTGGAACGAAAGTCTACAAGCTTATATATTAATATTATTTCCCGGTTCCACTGAGTGTATCTCTTTCTTTGACTCATCCTGATGATAACTTGCAAATGTTTATTAACTTTCTGAATGGTCTTAAACTCTTTAAATGCCAACTGTTTTTAAAAACCCAACAAAAGCTGAATTATTTTATGTAAACTAAATGCTTAAGGTCTTTTTTTCTTCTCACAGTCTGGGATATAAGTATTGATTTGAGGCATTTTTTTTTTGTTATACACATAGCTGGTAAAATAGCATGTATTTGTCCAACAGAGCAAACGTAAGAAAAATGGCTTAATTTGGTGAAAAATCCTTAAAACTACACATTTTCCCTCTAGATTGAAAGCCTGATATAATAAGATATTGTTCTATAATGCTAATGCATTAAAATGGCTGTGTTAATGGGTTAATATGTGGAAATATTTTCTTTAAGGTTCTTAACAGTTTATTATAGGTATTGTATTATACATACTTGTACCTTTTTGGTATATAAACTCTAATAATTCAATATCATAGTGTGTGTGTGTGTGTGTGTGTGTGTGTGTGTGTGTGTGTGTGTGTGTGTGTGTGTGTGTGTGTGTGTGTGTGTGTGTGTGTGTGTGTGTGTGTGTGTGTGTGTGTGTGTGTGTGTGTGTGTGTGTGTTCCTGGTGTTGCTCTAGTCCTGCTGTCCTCCACAGCTGGAAGTGTGATTTTCTCTGTGTCAATCTCAACAACACCACCCCCCCCTCCCTCCCCCCCATCCTGCACAGGAAATTACATTTCCCACTCACTCGCCAAAAGCAGATGTGTGTGTGTGTGTGTGTGTGTGTGTGTGTGTGTGTGTGTGTGTGTGTGTGTGTGTGTGTGTGTGTGTGTGTGTGTGTGTGTGTGTGTGTGTGTGTGTGTGTGTGTGTGTGTGTGTGTGTGTGTGTGTGTGTGTGTGTGTGTGTGTGTGTGTGTGTGTGTGTGTGTGTGTGTGCGTGCGTGTGCGTGCATACCCAAATGTGTTGTGTGTGACATGAGTGGGGGGAGGGGCAGAGGGAGGTTCTGAGTAGAAACAGAGCGCCCAATGTTTCATATTACACTCCTCAGCTGGGGGAAGAAAAAAAGAGTAGAAGAAGAAGAGGAGGAGGAAGAGGAGGAGGAGGAGGAGGAGGAAACCTGGGGCTTCTTTTCTTCAGAGGCATTTAACTGGGAGTGTATGGAGGCTGCAGCCGTGGAAAATGAAGATCTCCTCTGTGGTCTTCGCTCTCCTCACTCGAGCCCTGCTTGGAGGTAGGAAACATTTATTCTGTTTGTACCGAAGTGGAAGTGGTGGTGAGACAAAATGTTTTCCAATGTTCTTCTGAGAAACTTTGTAGAAAACATGAAAATGTTGGGGTGAGGAGACAAGTCGTTTTATAACATAGGATTGTCTTTCAACTGACATTACATTACTTGTCACTTGTTAGACGCTACATTCAGTCCTGTGGGCAATCCCCACAGGAGCAATTTGGGTGTTGGCAAGTTTATTTTTTGTAAAGTTGATGTGTTTGAAAATATGAGTCAATTCCAAAGTGAAAATTGGTGGTTTTCAAAGTAAATCTGAGCACTTCTATATTCATTTATGGCCATTTGAGTGAGCTTCTGTCAAAAGAGATTATTTAATTGAGCAGTTTAAGAGTTCAAAGTCAACAAACAACACTTTTCTGCCACTCAATTATCCTTTCATTGTTTTGTTCTGTCGCTCTTAATGAAAGACACAACTGTAACAAATGTTTTAATTACATACTGAGCTGTAAAACAGTAAAATGTGTGTCACAGTGAAATGTCTATGTGTGAAGTGTGCATTGTGAAACGTTGGAAGAACAGATGTGTGATATATTGCAGCAGTAAAGTTTGTTCCTCAAAATGCATCCAACGTCTGTCGCCACCGGCCAAAAACAATACGGCTGTCAGCGAGACGGGAGAATACTTTGAGCAACAATGGCCCCATTACAGACTGTATGGATATTAGAGATGACTTTTATTCGTAGAACAACCTTTCACTTTGCAAATCCTCATAGTACTATTTCTATTTTGGGAACTGTTAATTGGTCAGTACTTTGTCTGAAACTCAGCTCAAGCTTGAAATGTCTATCAACTAATTTTTCAGTTGCATTAATATGTTGGGAATCCTGAACTTAACCCCATGACAGGACGATGTATTTCTCTCAGAAGCTTTGAGGACTTTTCCTCCATGTTGGATAAAAAGTGTAATCGTAGCATGAATGAACAGATCATTATTGACCGGGACAAAAACTGAGGTGAGGCCTGTCACAATATCAGGCTTTTACTACACGATTATCTTTGAAACCTGTGTTAGGTGTCTTTAGGCATGTTCGAGCATACGTCTACTTAAATTATTATCTTTGAAAATGACTGAAAGCAGAGTATTTTCTTCAGGTCATTTTCGAAACCATCCCTGTCCACAATGAAACACTACACTATAGGAAACCAGCTATTTGTGGAGTGGAAAGACAGGAACTACCTTGGTTGCTGATTGGCTAATGGTTACACAAGCCAACACATCGTTATGACATCACAAAGTGGCCAAAGTCTGATCAGCTCATTTTCAGACAGGTTTTTATAGAAATGGATCAAAAAGAGAGAGAATCTTTGTTCCTGAAACTTTCAGAGTCTCTTTCCACAGAGGGGACACATGTTGATGGAGAAGAAACATGAAGAAGAGGGGACACATGTTGATGTAGAAGAGACATGAAGAAGAGGGGACACATGTTGATGTAGAAGAGACATGAAGAAGAGGGGACACATGTTGATGTAGAAGAGACATGAAGAAGAGGGGACACATGTTGATGTAGAAGAGACATGAAGAAGAGGGGACACATGTTGATGTAGAAGAGACATGAGGAAGAGGGGACACATGTTGATGTAGAAGAGACATGAAGAAGAGGGGACACATGTTGATGTAGAAGAGACATGAGGAAGAGGGGACACATGTTGATGTAGAAGAGACATGAAGAAGAGGGGACACATGTTGATGTAGAAGAGACATGAAGAAGAGGGGACACATGTTGATGTAGAAGAGACATGAAGAAGAGAGGACACATGTTGATGTAGAAGAGACATGAAGAAGAGGGGACACGTATTGATGTAGAAGAGACATGAAGAAGAGGGCACACATGTTGATGTAGAAGAGACATGAAGAAGAGGGGACACATGTTGGTGAAGAAGAGACATGAAGAAGAGGGGACACATGTTGATGTAGAAGAGACATGAAGAAGAGGGGACACATGTTGATGTAGAAGAGACATGAAGAAGAGGGGACACATGTTGATGTAGAAGAGACATGAAGAAGAGGGGACACATGTTGATGTAGAAGAGACATGAAGAAGAGGGCACACATGTTGATGTAGAAGAGACATGAAGTAGAGGGGACACATGTTGATGTAGAAGAGACATGAAGAAGAGGGGACACATGTTGATGTAGAAGAGACATGAAGAAGAGGGGACACATGTTGATGTAGAAGAGACATGAAGTAGAGGGGACACATGTTGATGTAGAAGAGACATGAAGAAGAGGGGACACATGTTGATGAAGAAGAGACATGAAGAAGAGGGGACACATGTTGATGTAGAAGAGACATGAAGAAGAGGGGACACATGTTGATGTAGAAGAGACATGAAGAAGAGGGGACACATGTTGATGTAGAAGAGACATGAAGAAGAGGGGACACATGTTGATGTAGAAGAGACATGAAGAAGAGGGGACACATGTTGATGTAGAAGAGACATGAAGAAGAGGGGACACATGTTGATGTAGAAGAGACATGAAGAAGAGGGGACACATGTTGATGAAGAAGAGACATGAAGAAGAGGGGACACATGTTGATGTAGAAGAGACATGAAGAAGAGGGGACACATGTTGATGTAGAAGAGACATGAAGAAGAGGGGACACATGTTGATGAAGAAGAGACATGGAGAAGAGGGGACACATGTTGATGTAGAAGAGACATGAAGAAGAGGGGACACATGTTGATGTAGAAGAGACATGAAGAAGAGGGGACACATGTTGATGTAGAAGAGACATGAAGAAGAGGGGACACATGTTGATGTAGAAGAGACATGAAGAAGAGGGGACACATGTTGATGAAGAAGAGACATGAAGAAGAGGGGACACATGTTGATGTAGAAGAGACATGAAGAAGAGGGGACACATGTTGATGTAGAAGAGACATGAAGAAGAGGGGACACATGTTGATGAAGAAGAGACATGAAGAAGAGGGGACACATGTTGATGTAGAAGAGACGTGAAGAAGAGGGGACACATGTTGATGTAGAAGAGACATGAAGAAGAGAGGACACATGTTGATGTAGAAGAGACATCAAAACTTTTGCATAATAGGTGACCTTTAAATAACTTGTGTACGTCTTCTCCAGATTGGTGTTTGGCCATTAACGTCACCATCACCCCTTACCCCTTCACGGTGGCCCAGGAGGGTCAAAACATCACGCTCTCCTGTGTTGTGTCCCAGCGGAGACGAAACGCTGCTCTGCCAGTGGTGAAATGGACGTTCCTGCCCGCGGGCACGGACCGACCGGAGGACGAACTCCTCATCGCCCGTGTCAACATGAGGAAGGCACGCTTCTACGGGAACTACACGAAGAGCTTCACGTGGCCCAAACTGAAGCTGACGGTGGTGAAGCAGGGGAAGATCTTTGACCTGGTGATCCTGAACGTGTCCGAGGGGGATCGAGGGCTCTACATGTGCCGGGTGCAGGAGTTTAAAAAGCACCAGGACCGCTGGAAGGCCTCGTCGAACTGCACCGCCGCTACTGAGCTCAGAGGTGAGGCTGAACCTATGGTTTTTACTTTTACCCGGAATATTTGCCAAGCAAGAGCTCTAGAGCATCACCATTCTTCACATTTGTAGAGTAACAGTAACAGATAAGATGTCAAGGAAAAAATGTCTGACAGGCAAGAAGCATTGGACTTAACTTGTAAAAAAAAACATTCTTATAGGGTTTCTTAACCCTCCTATTGTCTTCGTTTCCCCCCCCCCCCTTACTTTGGTGTTCGCGAAAAATCTGACCGGTCCTGTTTCAACTGCTATGACATTAACACAAAAACCATTAATCATCACCACATTTCATTTAACACCCTTTCAAACTGTACATATTGTATCAGACTACTGGTATACATGAAGAACTGCAGTAAATATACAAAGAACAGACACTGAACATGTATTGCGTGTGCCAGGTGTGATCCATGTGGGGGGAGGGGCACATAAGAGCGGGAAATGTGTCAAATTGGTATGTGTGTGTGTGTGTGTGTGTGTGTGTGTGTGTGTGTGTGTGTGTGTGTGTGTGTGTGTGTGTGTGTGTGTGTGTGTGTGTGTGTGTGTGTGTGTGTGTGTGTGTGTGTGTGTGTGTGTGTGTGTGTGTGTGTGTGTGTGTGTGTGTGTGTGTGTGTGTGTGTGTGTTTTATCTGATCCGGATGGTTACTAATTCCTTTTCGTTATGGCGGGAACACCATGGTGTTTCAAAGTTGACTAAATCATCCAAAACTCAATGAAAGTGGTGATCAGCCATTGTATATGTTCAAATGTCTCCTGTGAAGGATATCATGAAGCCTGAATGCAATCGAATGTAAAACAAAAAAGTTCTGATTGATGAAAGTAGTAAATCGGTCAGGTTCGACCCGAAGACAACAGGAGGGTTAAGGGTTTCATTTACCAAAAGGGATTTTATGAAAAATGTTTTAAAAAGTGACCTTCAACTACAGTTTATAGTTTGCTCGCTTTGACTTGAATTGTTATGGTTTTGCATCCGAAAAAGTTTTGGATAGAACCTCGTACTTTTTTTGTACTGTATATAATATGTATATAATGATGACGTATTGGTATGTACAATTGAGCGGCTTCTTCGGATTTCATTAGAAATGATTCAACAGAAAATCATGAAGTACAGATATCTCTGAACTTATCATTAGTTACAACTAAACACAACTTCTAGCCATCCGTTATCAAAAATACATACAATGTAATCCTTATCTCAAAGTTTTTCAGATACTACTTATTTTCCTTTTGCCCTATTCCAGAATTGGTGAAGGTTTATTTTACTATTAGGACATAGTTTCTCAACCCTGGAGGTGGAACCCACTGTTGAGTTTCTCGTAGGGTTTTCTTTCATTTCAAGTATGCAAAGAAAGTGGAGTGAGATCAGAAATTGGGGTCTTAAGCCAAAATCCGATGGGGAACCTCTGCTCTTAATCCCTCGTTGGAAGAAGAAACCAGTAGCTGATGCCTAGTTTCTCTCAGAATGACATCACTGCGTTTGATGGTGCAGGGCGGTGGCTTAACAGCTATTTCTGAAACCACAACAGAAGCAATTACAGATGCTGTTTTGATAATAGTAAAAACCGCAAAGAAGTTTTTGCACCAATGCCAGGTTTGAGCTCATGAAACTGTTGGAGGCTTTAGTTGAATAATCGGTGATTTCGACCACAAGAATATAACTGGAAAGAAAAGGGGCATGACATCTGTTTGTGCCAACTCTGCCAATATCAGTTTAAAATGAGGCGATGTTCACAGACTTGCAGACCTAAAGAAGACCCCCAAATAATCCAAAATTGTGATAACTCTAGACTGAAAACAGTGTGTCCTTGGGGAGCAGTTCTGCATCTTCAGTAGTTTCTCTTACCACATCTGCATGATCTAATCCATCTGTCTGAAGAGCTGAAGAGGCAGTGAAGAGGGTTCGCTGAGCCCTGTCCTGCTTTTGATTTGGGACGGGACATGTCATTGGTTAGGAGCTGGGGTTAAAAGGATCCTCCATCTCAATAAGTTGTGGCTTTGAGTTGGAGTACTTGATCTTGGAGACAGAGCAGAGGAGTGTGAGGTTTCAATGCCGCCGCTGACACAGGAGACGCTCACACAACGGAACGAATGACAAATCCACGGCTACCAGATACCGCAGAGAAATCTCTTTACTTTTATAAAAGCCAGAGACATACTTTAAAAGCTTTCTGAGTTTTTCCTCTACGTCCTCGCAAAAGAATATTTGATTTGCAGTTATAATTAGGGCACATTTACCACGCAATCTGTCAAACATCAATTACAGTAAGAGCTTAGTACACAAGAGCAGCTAGTCTTCGCATTTATAGCCAGCAAGTATCACTTGGCTTAAATCTAAATTGTGGCTAGCAGATCATGTTAGCTGTAGCTACCTAGCTAGCCAAATGAGCTAACGTCGCTAGTTCATAAGAGGGAAGAACGTTATCTCATACTAACTTTCTAGTGTTTCTATACAACAGTTTTTTAGCTTGTGAATGGGTTCAAACTAGACACGTAATGCTGCACAATATGATGTTTTACTGTCATCAACTTGTGGAATAAACCGTTAAGATTTAGTTGAAAGAGAGCATCAGTTAAAAAAAAAAAGGCAGTTTCAAATGTGGTCTTTTTTGTGTGTCCTTAATGTGTTCAATCAAATATCGTTGGAAGTAATTTCCTTTCATTTTTTTATTGAACAGGCAATTTGTTGTATTTCAGCAGTAGGCTACACTTCGAGTAGCAAAAAGGCAGTACTGAATACACTTTAATATCTTTAGATTTTTCAAAGCAATATTGCGATATTGAACAACGTTATTGCATGCCTGAGTTGATAGAACTGGGATGTTGTCCGTTTTTAGAGGACGATCGGGTTTTTGTAAATAGTGATGCTAATCTTAATCAATATTACTTTTATTTACTCCTAACAGATTGGAAATGTGTCACTTTCTGTTAAAGCTTTTTTTTTTTTTTGTCAGTGTTGCGTCAAATATCAGCAGAAAACTGGTTGAGAGGATTTTCTTTGAAATTGATGCTTGCAACAAATTTGAGACAATTCCTTTGTTTTTAAGTTCAATGCTTTATAACTGAGAGTTCAACAACACTAGACGTTGCTCACCACTTTTTCCATGGAAGTGTTCCTACCGGTTTTGTGACTTTTCGGGGTGTCCAGAGCCAAGTCTGGGCCCAGAGTGTTGACATTGGCTCTGACAAAGAGTTTCCCTCCCAGAAGTAGAGCAGACCGAGTGTGGAGAGACTCAGCAGAACTGGAACAAGAGATAGTTGTGCTGAAGGAAGGTGAAGCTGGAGTGTTTGTCTGCAGTGACAGTAGAGTGGACGCTGTCTGGCTCTTCTGAGGTCGAGGACGTGGAGAGCTATTTTCATCCGAGGAAGCGCCGGTCCATTGTGGTTTCTGAGATATTAATAAATAAGGCTACTGTGACATTTCTGAATGAATACTGCAATTATGACATGAATGGCAATACATGTACAGAGGAAAATAAAGGAATCCCAAAATACCTCCCTTGTTTACTCCAAACACAGGTCTTGTAATTTGGATTTCCTATTGGTTATAAATGGATTTCCTTTATAAGCAACGTTTGGTGCTTTCAAATTTGACCAAATGCTTTATTTCTATGCACACCTATGCTTTTGTTACAGACAGACAACATCTGTACGTCACGTCTGTAAATACCTTAAGTAATTGTGGTCAATTAAAGCTAGGACTATATTTATTTTATCCAAATTTGACTTTTCATCGTCGGTTTTCCGGTAGTACAAGTTTCAAAAGCCAATTTTTTGTGACTGATAAGAAGTAAATAAGAAGCTTTTTGTGAAAGTACAACTTTTTTGGTAAGTAAGGGATGTCATATCAGGTACAAATCTGTTCATAGGTGCACTTCACTCATTATATATTGCACTTCCAAAAGTGTATATTCTGATATCTGGAGTCTGAGTTTAGCTCAAATGAAATGCTGTACAGACCGCTTGTAAAAATATGCAACCTTTGTTAGATAGCTTTTTATCCCCAATTTGTCGTTCAGGTCATTGTCAACTCGTCCATTTGAGTCTAAATTAAAGTATAGCATAATAAATTCAGGAGAAACTAAATTATCTCCAAGCTAGACTCATGTATAAAATGAATAGTCAAAATCGAAGGAAAACAGCCTGAGATATGAGTGAGTTCTTAGTTAGTCCTAAATGTCCCCTAATGCTACTGATTAGCATCTCTTAATAGACCATCTCTCAGACTTTACACTCCCAGTTTGTCATGCAAGCTTTTTGGTTACTGTTACGTTCCCTTGTAGAGCTAGGGGTACCAAAGGAAGTAGCGACACACAAGATAGCCGGACGAGAGAAAAAGGAGAGGAAACTGAATGCTGAAGGAGTTTAAGTGAGGTTTTAATTAGTTAAGAAGTAAGGCGGCTCACCAGCCCAATTACAAAACAAACTTACAGTAAACAACACACAACTATGCTGGGTCTCACAGAGAGACATGCTGCACACATGCAGCCAGATGAGAAGGAGAGAGAAAGCAGCAACCTTCCCCCTGTCCTATATGGAGGCCCTGATTGAGGATAGGGAGCACCTGGGGAGAGGCTGCACCTGGGGACAATCAAGGCTGCACCTGGGGAGTCAGAGGGAGAGAGAGAGAAACACCCACACGACCACACAAACACTACGGCACGTAACAGTTACCCTACCCATGTCAATTTAAATCCATTTAAATCAGGGGAAACTCAAAGCTAAAATGTTCATTTTTGTCACCCTATGAGTTCCCTATACAAAACAATCTCCAGGATCTAGATTGAGTAATTGTAATGGCTCCAACAACACTGGAAAACGGCACTATTTCTATCCAGCAGAGCAGCAGGCGGTGGTTTTCCCTCCCAGTATCAACACCACCGCTTGACAGCCATGATAAACATCAGCTTCAGTTAAAACCCCTGTGCGACCGTTGCTCCTGGACCCCACTTCACATGAGAAGCAGCAGATCACTGGGACTTTCTGTGCACA